GGGGTGGGGTCGGCCTCAGGTTGATGTGAGAAAAAAATCCATTTTTTAAAAAGTATAAGTTTTACGGCGCTCGCAACTGCATAAGGTCATATGAGCGCAAGAAAATTAGAGCTGTTACAAGAGAGTAACAAACATAAAAAAGATGAAGGGGAGATACGGACGATAGATGTTTCAAAGGAAAGAAGAAGCAAACCACACCAGAGCACCCGCCAACTACCCACAAAAAATCCATACACACTTAAACATTAATCTTAACTGTCTCATAAGTCGTCACCGTTGAAAGCCTTTCTCATTTCTGCCTCCGAGGAAAATGTGAGGCAGCGTGGTGGAATCAGGTTTTCGTCAAAATAATCAAAGTGAAGAAACTTGCATTTTCCCGCAGGTTTGTGAATTTTAATCAAATTTTTGTATTTTGCCTCAACACCTTTCCTGCCCATTAAAAAACTCATTTTTGTACGGATTTTTCGTAAAAACGTTGTTTAAACTCACAAAAAAATATAAACTTTCAGTTACCACGGACTCTTAAGCTAAGGAAATATCCAATCGTTGGCGGCCATTTTCTCACTAATTTTACCTCTGAAAACAGGTGACCCCCACCTCTTTCATTCGCAAATATCTCGACTTGTACTCAAGATAAATGGATATTTTTTTCATTGAAATAAAGACAAGTGACCAAGCTTTAAGATGACACCAATAACTCTACATGCCCAAAAATTGACGAGAGCCTGATTCCACTACGCTGCCTCACAAATAGCCAATGTCAAAAGCATATTAAAAAGAATCTGATCTCGTGGCTTTTTTCTCACGAGAAGATGAAGTTGAAATTGATGAGGATGATGGTTATGCTTTTAACATTTCCGTCGTTTAAGCAACCAGTGACCCGCCATGCTGTCAGCGGAGGGAAGAACTTTTGTCTGTCTTGTGACGTCTAGAGGACTCGCGAATGTCTAGAGAGATCATTTGAGACGTTCAAACTGATTTCTTTATAATCATCCTCTTGACCAGGTTCATCTTGAGTCACGCTCCGCCCACCTAGCAACTGGCTATAAGACATATTAATTGTTGGACCCTCTATCTTGTAATACTCACTGCGTTGCTCTTAGTTTTACCCTCAGTTGCTCCCGAAGAAGTTTTCCAGGCGAAATGTTGAGACGCTTTAAAGACCAATTCTTAGTTTTTATTTTTAATTTATATTTTCTTCTCAAGAATTGCGGAAGACTCTCCTTCCCCACCCTTCTTTTTTTAAAGATACAAATGAAGACAAAAACGACACGATGCTGCTGCTGCTGCTGCTGCTGCTGCTGATGGTGATGATGATGATGATAAGAATGATAATAGTAATTACTAC